AAAAAAAAAAAAAAAAAAAAAAAAAAAAAAAAAAAAAAAAAAAAAAAAAAAAAAAAAAAAAAACACTGCCCAAAACCAAGAACAGAACAAACCTCTGTTTTCTCTCTCTCTTTCTCTGGATTCTTAGCTGTGTTTTTTTTTCTCTGGTTCTTCAGCTGTTGGATGAATGTTGTGCGGCTTTGGTGGATGCGTTTTGTTCTTGATTCGATTTTCCTGTTATGGCTTCAATCGCTGTTCTGGGTTTGAGAGTATGTTTCTTCAACTCTCTTCATCGGTTTGTAAGTAAATCTTCTCTCTGTTTTTTCCAATGAATTTGCTCTGAAACTTTGGGAATCCGATGATTTTGTTTTCCTTGGCAGCATTATTGTAATCTAATTGTTATTCTTTCATTCTTTGTTTTGGGGTTGGGATTGAATTTAGGACACACATTTTGGAACTTTAAAACAGAGTGTTTATATTTTGATTCTTTCTCATCGGATTCCTCTTGGTTTTTTTGTTTGTGTTCATATGATTTTTATTTTTTTTTTGTAATTGTTCTTCACACACACACACGTAGATTCATTCTTTTTAGTTCTTCAAAGGGAATTCATTTGTTTAGATCTTAAACTGGAAAAGGAATTTAGAAAGAAAAAAACAGAGGAAAAGGAAAATTGGGTTGTGGGGGTGTGTTGATCTTTTTAGAATAACGAAGCATAAAAGTTCGAAGAAGATAGAGGATGTTGGCTGGGTGTTCTAGTTCAACATTGCTCTCGCCAAGGAACCGATTGAGAAGTGAAGCACAGCCGCAGTTTCAAGCTTGTCATTTGCAGTTACCAACTTCAATGAGCACACAGAGATTGGATTTGCCCTGCAGCTTTTCCCGTCCGAAGGATACCTCAGCCGCCACTGCTCGATCCCCGTCGATTCGGCCGGTTGGGCTCTCAGTCGAGAAGCAGAACATTAGGCTTCCGCCGCTGTCTTCCACCAACAAGCAGATCAAGCAAGAGTTTTGGAAGGAAAAAGGTAAGAACTTGAAGAGAATTGCAGAACAAATTGGGATTGATGATGATGAAAACTTCATTAGCAGCGCCAAGAGGAAGAGAGAAAGCAGAGATGACGGCGGAGACCGGTTGATTCTGAGCCAATTTGGCAGCGGCGGAGGGAGTTTCTGGTTTCATCAGCCAGATGGGGATGAAGAAGAACTCTGTTTTCTTCCTGGAAGTGAAGTAATTTCTTTGCCATCGCCATTTTTGTCAGAGATCGCTGATTTGGGAGAAAGTAGCAGCCATGTGAAGGCTGAGGACGGGTCAGGCTCCGGTTCGGGCTCGGGATCGAGTTCATCGTCCGAAAGTGAAAGATTTTCATTGAGAAGAAGAGTAACAACAGAGAATGTTCCAACAGCAACAGCAGCAGCAGCAACAGGTGTGGAAATTGGGAATGGTAGCTCAAGAAATCCTTCATATCATCACCATCAAGGATCTGGTTTGAACAATGAAAGGGAAGAAGAAGAAGGGTTTGAGCTGATCAGTCTTCTAATGGCATGTGTGGAAGCAATTGGCTCAAAGAACATTGGTTTGATAAACCATTTGATAGACAAACTTGGTAGCCGAGCATCTCCAAAAGGGTCATCACCAATTTCACGTTTGATAGCATATTACACAGAGGCTCTAGCCATCAGGGTGTGCAGAGTTTGGCCACAAGTGTTCCACATAACCCCGCCGAGGGAATACGATCAGATGGACGACAATACAACCGGGACAGCGCTTCGGCTTCTGAACGACGTGAGCCCGATCCCGAAATTCATCCACTTCACGGCGAACGAGATGTTGCTAAGAGCATTCGAAGGGAAAGACATGGTTCACATCATAGATTTTGACATAAAGCAAGGCCTGCAATGGCCAAGCTTGTTCCAAAGTTTGGCATCTAGAGCGAACCCTCCAAGTCACGTTCGAATCACCGGTATTGGTGAGTCGAAGCAGGAGTTAAACGAAACGGGAGATAGGCTGGCGGGGTTTGCCGAGGCATTGAGGTTGCCGTTCGAGTTCCACGCAGTGGTGGATCGGTTGGAGGATGTGAGGCTATGGATGCTTCATGTTAAGGAGCAAGAGAGTGTAGGCGTGAATTGCATACTCCAACTGCACAAGACACTATATGATGGGAATTGGGGAGCATTAAGGGACTTCTTGGGGCTTATCAGAAGCACAAACCCAACCATTGTCGTAATGGCCGAGCAAGAAGCCGAGCACAACGAACCGAGGTTAGAGACAAGAGTAGCAGCAACACTCAAGTACTACGCAGGCATATTCGACTCAATCGATGCTAGCCTTCCACCGGAGAGCACGGCCAGGTTAAAGATCGAGGAGATGTTTGGAAGGGAGATAAGGAACATGATAGGATGTGAAGGAAGGGAGAGGTATGAAAGACATGTTGGATTTAAGAAATGGAAGAAGCTGATGGAGCAGCAGGGAGGCCTGCAATGCGTCGGGATTCGGGACGACGATCGGGAGCTTCTTCAGACCCAATTCCTCTTGAAAATGTACTCATCAGCAGCTCAAGGGTTCAATGTGACAAAGCTGGAAGAAGAAGCAGTTTGCCTGAGATGGGAAGAGCAGCCAGTTTACACAGTTTCAGGATGGACAGCAGCAGAGGTTTCAGGTGGAAGTTGTTCATCATCATTTAACCAACAGACTTGATATTCTTTTGGGGTTTCAATTGTATTGTGTTATTAGTATACAAAGATTCTTTATAGGATAGAGATATAGATAGAAAGAAATGGGTGATTTTGATTATTATTATTCTTTCATTCTTTTGTTGGAGTGATTAGAACAGGGCATAGAAGTTAAGAGATGTCTGTATTTGATTTGTTGCAATTCTTTAATTCTTTGATGGAAGTGTTCTTCATTACAAGTTCTTTCTTTTCTATGATGTAATTTTTGAAGGTTTCCCACTGGTTTTCGCTCAATAAAGATAGACATACTTCATTGTTCTTCGAAAACTCTTCGATGATTAAACATGAAGCTGATACTATTGAAAGAGAGTCATCGTTGGAGCGATGAAAGCTCTCTCTAAGATTGATTATAAAATGTGTATGCTAGGGAGAGATTTTCACATTTTTATAAATAATACTTTGTTTTCCTCTCCAATTAGTGTGGGATCTCACAATCCACCTCGAGCTCAGTGTTCTCGTTGGCATTTGTTTCCCTTTTCGATCAATGTGGGACCTCCCAATTCAATTAGTGTGGGATCTCACAATCCACCTCGAGCTCAGTGTTCTCGTTGGCATTTGTTCCCCTTTTCGATCAATGTGGGACCTCCCAATTATTGTTGCTCAGTGTTCTCGTTGGCATTTGTTCCCCTTTTCGATCAATGTGGGGACCTCCCAATTATTGTGAGATCCCACGTTGATTGGGGAGGAGAAAGAAACATCCCTTTTTAAGAAACTTGCAAACATAGGCAAACATTAAATTCTCTAGTTTGAACATGGATATTTATTTGTAATTATTTAAACTTTTTAACTCTTAAATATTTAATATCAATCGGAAAATAAATCATTTAGTATCACATAATAGCTCATCTTACTCTTAAATGATGATTACGATTTCAATAAATCATCTCATCTAGATCTAAAGTTTATTTAAGACGTAAGAACTAGTAGATATATTACTTAAGAACTAGTAGATATATTACATAGGCCTTTATTTGCCTTTCTGTTGATGCCTATATCGCTTTCTCGTTTTTGAAGGTCGTTAGATCTACTACTTGTTGTGAAATTATTTTCTTTATCAAAATTAGTTAAACAATAATACTAAAGATTTATACAAAAGACTCGTGAAAATATTTCTAAAACTTAAAGAGAATGAGAATTTTTTAATAGGGACGAACTTTAAACTTTATTGAAAGTACAACGACTGAATTTTCGTCGTTTGAAATAAAATGGAATAAAAACCCGAAATACAAAAACTAAAATGATACTTTAACTAATCTCTAAACCTATATCCTCCAACCAAGGGCAAATGGAATCACAGTCTAAAGTAGAGGAACCTAAATTTTCAACTACTTTATGGTAAATGGCATCACATTCTAAAGTAGAAGAACCCAAATTTCTCATACTTTCACGTGCCCCTAAGTATGTCTTCAAGCCTACATTTGCTCGTACAAAAGTCCCAATCTAACCTCGAAAATTCGGAGCCGAAAGACATAGGTATATGGTATAGTTTGGACAAAAGTGTCATTTCAGACCCAGATAGAAGCTGTTTTGTCAAGGAAGGGTATGGAACAACATGGGCAATCACAGACTAAAGACCTATGTTGCTCACTGTGTCCTTCCATGCCCAAACTATGGAGATTTGTGATATACCAACACAATGTAAAATCAAAAGCAAAATAATCACTTCAAAGAGCTGAGCTGAGCTGAACATTTGAAGGAAGGCAGTGCATTTAGGCTATAGGCAGCTACCCATCTAATCTAATATATTGCAATGTTTGTTTCTAAAATGAATAGAGCTAGTTCATATACATAGCAGCCAAAGAATCCAATACGATCCCTAAAATCATTGTATGAACAAGAAAGCTGCAATACAGACCAACATGGCAGAAGGATCAAATATTAGGCACTTCAAAACCATTATTCCGCATTAATGGATCTATTTATACCTTCAAATGCCATTCCTACACTTCATCCACACAAAGAAAGCTTCGAGAGAGAAGAGAAGAAGTAATTTTCATGTATATATCATTTAATTTCAGCAGTTTAATAGAGTTGGCCACACCATTAAATCAACTCCAGATAAAAAGCTTCTTGCTTGCTGTTAACTCCAAGTTCATTCAATGTTAAGGAACTCTCCCCATCTCCAAAAGCTTTTCGAGGATATGGCCTCACCTGTCCATGGATAAATATATATTATTATATATATGACACAAGAACTCCAAAATATTAAACCATAAATACAGATTATGTTTCAGTCTACAATCGAACTTTTTAATATTTAATTTTAGATCCTAAGCTTTAAGATGATTTAGATAAGTCCTTCAACTTCGAGAAATAATTATTTTAACCATACACGATTTCAAATACCAGTACAAGTAAATGTCTACCATTCAAGCAAATAATCAAACATCTCCGTTTCAATTTTAAGTAATTTCCTACTTGTTTATTCATGGACTAAAATGGAATAAACGTCCAAACCAAAATATGCTTTAAATCTAAAATATACCCCTTCAAAATTTGTTCCTGCCCTCTAATAAGCATAGCATCAGAGCATTATATGGACGGTCAGGAAGGAAGACAAATAAATATAGTATATCTTGTAAGCTAAACAGGGCACATCATATTATGTTAATGTACTCACCAATCTGTAGGAACCAGGCTTGACAACTCTACCGATATCAATGAAGTCAAAGAGACACTACAAAACATATCACAGCCAGTTAGGCAAATAGGGGCATATAATAGAAATCAACTTTAGTTAATCTTTACAAAATTCACCTGTAGCTTATCAGATTTGAGAAATCGACGACCGCGGCGACTGCCATCTGGCATGCGCACTAACAGTGTCACCGCATTCTCGTCATCTGATCTTGGTTCACTGGGAAGAGAAGCCTCTATTTCTGCCAAATGTCTTTCAAGTTCCTGCTAATTAAAAAACCATGGAATGAACATCCAGGACAGAAGATTGCTCATTGTCACTAAATTGCAGAAATGTAGAGTATATGGACCAAGTATATATGGCAGAAGTACCCATAGTTTAGAATGCATCATACTTGAACTAGTGGGAGAGGAATCATAAACATCATTATAAAAGGGATTACAGTGCAAATTACACCCAATCAACCTAGTTGAAAGGTTTTGGAAAGGAGAACTCGTTTGGAGACCAAATTTCAATTTGAATATCTTCATGATGAAAAAAAATGCTCGTTATCCAAACACCATTAAACAGTACCCTTTGAATAAATAAGAAAGTGAGTGATAAGTTCCAGTTGGTATAGAGAAAAATGATAACTTCCAGTCAATTCTAATCAAGTTACCACAGAAACGCTCATAGGAAACAAAAAAGGGAAAGAAAAAAAAAATGGTATACTTGGTCGGTTTTCACTCTTAAAACTTATCGTATGCTTTCCTACATTTCATTTTATGTCCAATTTCATAGTAGTAAATAAATAAACAAAAGTAATATTTTAGTTCCACTGTCCAACAATTATTTGACAGCAAATGAATTGTTTGATGATCTGTCATGCTTAACAAGTGTTAGAGGTATGTTTTACAAGTACCAAACTAGTAATTAATTTGCTCAACTAGTGCCTAACACGTGTTGGAAAAATAGCAGAGAATCAAGACACATTAACCAACCCTGGTTTGTCCTATATGCTTCAGAATATAAACTTCATATGCTAAAACAAGCAGTAGAAGATGTAAAGTTAAAAGAGACTACTCAGACTCGAATATAATGGTCTGTGAGACTCTGGAATCCCTCAGGGCACAGGAAGAGGGCAAACAGACACACACACACATATAAATTTTTCTCTCAAATATATATAATATCCAATGAATTACAACAGATGGAAAAAGGAATCTAAAAAACAGAAAGTCACACATATGACCAGAATTACCTTCTCAGCATCCAGTTTCTGACGAGATTCTTCCTCTCTCTGTCTTTCTTTTTCACGAACAGCTGCAGCTTCAGCCATGGCCTTCAGTTCTTTTTCTCTGTCAGCTTCTAAAGCTGCCAGATACTCATCATCCTGATGGGTAATGTAACTTGCAATTAGACACATAGTGGATAGCAACAAATTGAACAGTTCGGTTTAAATCACACAAGCCAAACCTGCTGTTCCCTTATCAAGCGCTGAGCTACTAAGGAGGGTGAAGGAGGGCGAGGGGCTGGCTGTACATATGAACCTTGATTTCTCATGAATTCATGAGGTGCAGATGGAAAACGATATGAACTTCCTTCAGAACCTCCACCAAACATGGCAGCCTCAAGCATGACTGCTTCATCATGCTCCTCTGAAGAAATTCCACCCCACTTCCATAGAGAAGCATCAATCGTTTAAATGAATGGTTATAAAGCAACTAAGATGACAAGTTTTATATTTCAAAATGAAAAAATTTAAGATTAAAACATGGACATGTGAAGTTCTGTACCTCATCAGACTGAAATGCATTCCCATTGTGCTGTGGATTATTACTACTATCAGGATGCTTGGGACTTGATGCAAGGCTTAAATCAACAATTTCAACCCCCTTTGCAGGCTCAGCATTGCCAGAGGACTTGCGTTTGGTCCGATGCCTAATTAAATTAACTTCCTCTAGATCTTCAACCTCATCTTGAGCAGACGTACTTCCTGTTTCCATCCTAAGTTTTTCCAATGTAACTTCATCAAACTGTTGCGTTGAACAGATAACACAAAGTATAGACTCTCATTCTCAGTAGGCATCACAATAAACAGGTTGGTGAATGATAATTTACACAAATTCTACCTAGTGTAGTTTACAAAGCATGAAATTGTTGAGAAGAATACCTTCCATTTAATGATGTGACCTTCCTCAGTTCCACATCAGTTAACTTCGAAGTTTCTGTTTTTGATCCTCCAATGTTCTCCCCTCGCTCAGGGAAATCTTCCTCTGGCTGCATTGTCAATACAAATTAATCATAAGATGGTGTAACAGTTAAGATAGAAAGGGTTTAAGACGAGAATAAACCTTGATAGATGAAGCTGCAGGTGATAATTCTAAATCACTCAAGTGAGAAAGATGTTCTCGAGCCCTAAGATTGCTTAAATCCTGCCATCCAGATAAAAACAAAATCATATACACCACAACACAATCCAATGCCTAAACAGAAAATAAAAAAAGTCCACCACAATTATAGTGTCAGCGCATACAGTTTGTGTAGTTAAGGGATCACTTGGATAAGCCTGCACAACATCTTTCTTTGAAGCCTCAATTGCAGCACGAATCATTTCTTCTTCAATGTCATTTCTGTCTTGAAACTCAGCACTTTCAAAGGCACCGGATATAGCATTTCTGTCACGAGAATCATGACTTGAAATAGCCCGATGCTCTAAATCTGGTGCATGTGCTACAGAAGCAACTAGAGGTTCTTCATCTTCGTTATCATCAATTACTACAGTCCCACGAACCTCTTGACCATGGGCATCCACAGTCCCAGTGACATCCTCAATTGTCAGCACATGGCCAGATTGGCCAGATTGGCCAGATGGTCGGCTACCATCTCTAAATTCTATGGGAATCTCCCTCACCTCTCTTGGATGAGTCACCATTGGAGCAGAACTAGTAAAATCAGAGGCGTGGTCAAATAAACCCTGGCGGAGATTTTGATCAAGTAATGAAAATGGATTCATAATCTCTCTAGCAGCAGATAGAAGAGACTGAGGAGGACCCTGGGGTTCAACTTCAACTGGATCATCAATGTCCATGAAATCATAATCACCAGAAACAGAGGTCGGATGTGCGCTGAAGATAATGGGGATAGTTCGAGTTCAACATCAAGAATTTGGTTAGATAGAAAAAATAACATATAGATATGCAGGCAGAAATTCCTTTTTAAAGAAACAAACTTTAGGAGGGGGGGGGGGGG